TCACTTGCAGGTGGTATTGTATCTATTGTTGCGTTAGGCTTGTGCTTGCTTTTCTTACAGACAAGCTTGAAAAAGTTGATGGGTTTATTTTCTTCATAAACAGGAAAGTATTGTGGTCAGCATATGAAAAAAATATTTATTGCTTGCCGGATTTCTTACGACGTTGCATCTGGCGTTGATAAAATTCTAGTTCTTTTGCTTCCAAAATATATCCATCGCATCGTCCACATTGGCCAGGCCTCGAAGTAACTCTAGCCAACAACTTTCCTGTTGAAAACTGATCTAACAATGCTTTTTCAACTGGTCGGCTAACAGCTGAAACTTTCTGCTTATCTACAGCCTTTGTAGTTGTCTGTGACTGTTCTTCTTGTTGTGCATCATCCTGAATGGCGTTAAGAATAGAAAATCAATAGACAAAGAAAAGACAGCATTACCTTCTTCTTCTTTCCTATTTCTATACCATAATGTTGCGAATACCATTGTCGGAACGGAGTAGCATCGATCTGAACGATGCAACCTTTGACTAGTGTATTGGTTCTTACAAGTTCATTATTTGACGCGTTATAGACGACGGCTACAATCCTCGTCTTCCTGCTAGTAGATTCAGATCCCCAAGAGAAGTTACCCGTGTCCAAACGAAGTGCTCGAAACTTGTAGTTGCCTCCTCTCACTCGAACAGGACGTACTGCTTTAGGACCCAACTTGGTGTTGGCAGGTTGTCGTCCCAAGTTATACTTTCGCTTCTTTCTCCATACTGCCTTTTTACCTCCTGTAAGGCGACGCTTATGGAGCGTGTCTCGAGTAATACCTAATCAAGAAAAGTGGATAGATATGAGTTTGATAAATGCTATTGCTCCTTTTCAACTAACCCATAAACGATCACACGCCGTATAACGACGATAATTCCCAGAAATTAATGCGTTTCACATTTGATAATAAACAACATTTATTGTACAGAAAAAAGAAGGAAAATTCCTTTCTATTAGAATATGATTAATTTTGATATAACCAAGAATGCTTATGTACAAATAGACAACAAAAAAGGAATGGTCTCAACCTCTTTTCTCATATTCTCGTAGTTTCTCTTCCAACTGACCAATTTTACACTTTAATTCTTCATTTTCCCTTTCAAGTTGTTGCAAGCGTTCTATGTGTCTTTTCCTTGCATTCGCAGCAGACTTGCGATTCCTCAAAATACGTCTGAGAGTACGTTGCTCTGGTGTCAAACTCTTTAGAGCCTTCAAATGTTGCTTTCTTTGCTCTCTCAGTTCTTCTTCTGACTTTCCAGCTGATGAATTAAAAATAGGAGGTTGTCCAACAGTTTCTAAAATTTCGTCTACCTGTGAAACTTGAATTCTTGAAGTCATGCACACTGCGGGAGCACTGGTGATGGAAGTATCAGAATATATAGCTTCATTTGTGACATTTGAACGAGCATAGGAGAAACGATGCAAATCATTCGTTTCAGATATCGAAACTGTATGAAAGCTACCAGTACTATCCGATGGCAAGTTAGCCTTATTCTGTTTTCTCCTTTTGATTCCCTCATGCCTGGGTTGTGTACGTTGCGGACCCGAATTTTCTGCTTGTGAAGTTTCAGACCAAACTCTATCTTTAGTTTCTATTTCCTTCATATCTTCCCAGTTATGTTCTACCAGCTCGTATAACAAGGGAAACTTTTCTTCTTCTATACTAGAAGGACTATAAAAAGGAAGCTCCCAACTATCATGTTCTGACATAATGCCTCCAGAGGAACACTTCTCTACAGATAAGCGTTCCATAACAATCCAAACATGCGTCGAGTATTTATATACAACTGTTTCTTTCGTCTGTATTTTTGGAATCGACCATATGGCTCTTTTCGTTTTGAGTCGTGTAATGACTACACATAGGCAGATCGACGAGTCTGATTGGGTCATCGAATATTCGTTTGTCCAATCAAAATCGAGCAAACAGAAATATCGATTCCTCACGTGGACCATCCTATTTGATAGGCCTATCGATGAGTATCCAATGGCCTTTGTCACACTAGGAAAGAGTCCATTTTTACTACACAACTAATTTATTTTTTGTGAGCGATATTTTTCCAATATTTCCCAAGATATAGATACAAATACGAAAAATACTCCACAAAATTGATAAATAGATGGAATATGTCCAAATATTACATAAGACACTAGAACTGATAAAAATTTTCGTGTAGTTGTAACAGTAGCACATACAAGCGCAGAATAATTGCAAATTGTATAGACAATAACACCTTGTCCAACTGCACTTGTCAAGCAGAAAATAACAATATCGTTCAAAACTTGAGGATGGAAACGAATAAATTGACAAGCTTCTAACCATCCTCTATTTAGGAACAAGACTAATGCGCAGTTCAGTGCCCAGAATTCCCTGAAATAAGAATAAACTCACCTATAGCAACATAGGATACAGCAAATAGATTTTGGTAAAACATAATTTCATATGTGCTAATTTGTTTATCTTGAACCAATCTCTCTTGAAGAGGACCCGTCAAGCCATCCATAAATAACGATGCCAAGAGAAATAGGATACCCAATATTTGCGAGTTGAAAGTTGTTTTGGGAACATTTTGTTGGTAAGAAAACAGAAAAACTCCGAAACATAACAAAACAACACGTAAATACTGTGAGAAGGAATATTTCTTTCTCCGTATCAATATTCCCATGAGCATAACGGGTATCATCTTGCTACTCTTGCCAAGTGTCTACTCAACAAAGTCAATGTTTTTGTCAATTGGATGGAACAAATACATACCTGAAGTGGATAAGAAACGTAATGAAGTGCGTAGTTTGAGAAGAACATGGCAAGTAAATAACTAGCTGCAATCAGACCATAACCCTTGATCAGCACTTTCGGTCTATATCTATAAAATAAGGAGTAGAGACGTTCTTTTTGGTTCCATCCCGTTGTTTCAAAAAGTAAAATACAAATAAAGGAAAATACAGTATGGGAAAGACACTGCACAAATAACAAGAATAGGCTATAACCAAACTGTGCGCCATCCGGAGAATAGTTTGTTTTATACCTAGAAGCTGTCAAAAGGAAAGTTTCAAAGCTTTAAAGGAACCATCATACAGTCTCTCTTGTAATACACCATAAAGTAAGTAACAGAAATAAATAGAAATAATACAGGAGAACAACTCGAACCATTTAAAACTCCCACAAGCCATTTTCTATAGGAGTTGAAAAAATTGTTCATGTCAGTAGATGCTAACCATTCCGAGTCTTTACAAGGCATACGAAATACTTTATTAGAATGGAGTCGCTATTACTTGGGATATCCTCGACCTCCAAGTAGAGTAATAGAGTTTAGAGGTCGTAAACATCTTATTGAACTGTTGAAACAAGGTAAACCTGTTCTCGTTGCGCTCTCTATTCACGGGTTTGTGTCTTTCTTTCATCGATCAGGTTTCTATGCATAACGCTATTCTTAGGTTTTCAAGATGTGAGCACTTTAGAAAAATGTTTGAACAAGCTTCATTTGAGTTTGATCAAGTCCACTTTGTTTGGGTGAATTGTGGTCAAGCAATAGAGTTTTGCAGATCTAGACAACCTCCTGCCATGCCCTGGATGGAGCTCTTTCAATTGGATTTTGAGGTAAGTTTCCCAAATATTTGTATAAGCAACCCTGATAAACCACTTTAATGGTTAGTCTGAAGCCAAAGTGGGTATGAGAGAAAGCGACTCTGCGTTCAAAGTTGAGGTGAAACCATTCATCGGTTATCATCCCAGTGTTTATGGAATCAAAGTATTTTTGAGAAAGCACGGAATCCTTCCTCCTGCAGGTTTCCAATCTGAACCGAAAAGTTATAACTAGACTATCATACTTTATTATTTTCGCTATTGGATGATGGTTCAGTCGAAATAGAATCGCGAGTTGGAGATAACACAACACATTTTCCTTGCTTTTCTTCAATCTTTCTAGCTGCCGATTGACTAAAGGCGTGAGCATATACCGTTAAATCGGAAACTTTCAATTCCCCATCTCCGAGAACTTTTACAAGTTTCTCCTTATTCTTGGTCATTCTCTTCTTCGAGACCAGCGACTCCAAAGTAACGTGTTCGCCTGGTTCACATTGATTGAGAGTTTCCAATTTGATAATACCATAAACTGTCTTCTGATGACCCTTTCCCATAGGACTTCCTACCACTCTAAAGATAAATGATCAATACATCCACAATCATATGGAGAAAAACTCAAATACGAACTTGGGAAGTCTTCGATGAAGCGGTGTTTGTCCACCTTCAAAGCCACGTCGTATTGACTCACCACTTCGACTTTTCTGTCCTCGGTGACCTCTTCCACCAGTCTTTCCTTGACCTGCCGCAATTCCTCTTCCTATTCTTTTCTTCCTATGATGGGAACCTGGAGCTGGTTTCAAGTTACCCAAATCGGGTACTTGTGTCGATACTGCTTCTATAAAAACAAGTTGGCATTATTCCCTCCCATGAAATACTAGTATACCTTTATCTAATAGTGCTTGTCTTCGTTTCTTATGATCGAATATTTTCATGTTCAAGTCAATCAACCTAAACCTCTGACAACATTTATCAACGTCACTTGAAGGAACCAAGGAACGCTGCAATAACAGCCGCTGAGTAAAAGACCCTCTTGAAATAAGTTTCCATTGTGACAACTTTATATTTTTGGGTCTTAAGGAAATACCACTACAACAAAAAGCACAACGAGGCGTTGACCATCTCTCCATAATACTAATAAGATTGATTGGATTTTCTTGAAATAACGTGAATGATGGCTTTTTTATCCTCACCACAACTTTTCTTTGGAAAAGCCAAGACTAAAAAGGGAATGAATGATCAAAAGGAAAGAATATTGAGAAAGCGAATACATCTTTCGAGACACTGCACTACATTTTCTATTTATCTTAAAGAGATGGTCACAACCTCAAGTGATGCAACTAGCCAAGAGAACAGTGCGTTGGATAAGGTTTTGAGTGACTTTGACAAGTATGTAGTGAAAACATATAATAGACAGCCTTTATATTTCTCACATGGTAATGGTGCTTGGCTTTGGGATCAGGACGAACGCAAGTTGTTGGATTTTGTTGGAGGTATTGCCACTTGTAGCGTTGGTCACTGTCATCCAAAACTCATCGATGCCGTCCAACAGCAAATGAATAGTGTCCATCATGTATCCAACTTATATTATATTCCTCAGCAAGTAGAATTGGCAAAGTGGTTGGTGGAACACTCTTGTGCTGACAAAGTTTTCTTTTGTAATTCAGGAACAGAAGCTAATGAAGCAGCTATTAAGCTGGCAAGAAAATATGGTAAAGTTCGTTGGAATTGTAAAGAACCGATCATTATCAGTGCAAACAAGTCATTCCATGGAAGGACTTGTGGTTCTCTAAGTGCAACTGCTCAACCTAAATATCAATCCCATTTTTTACCTTTGTTACCGGGATTCCTTTATGTGGATTACAACGATACGTCATCTTTCTTAGAATTGGTTGATAACATAAAGTCTTCGGATGATCGAAGAATTGTGGGGGTAATGTTAGAAGCTGTTCAAGGAGAAGGTGGAGTTATGCCTGGAGATGAAAAGTTCTTTCAAACTGTTCGACAAGTTTGTAGTCAGATAGGAGCTTTGATGATATTAGATGAAGTTCAAGTAGGAATGGGAAGAACTGGAAGACTTTGGGGATATGAGCATTATCGTATTGAACCAGATATTTTCACTACAGCAAAGGGTCTTGCAGGTGGAGTTCCAATAGGAGCTATGTTGTGCCAATCTCACTGTGACTTGTTTGAACCCGGAGACCATGCAGCAACTTTTGGAGGAAATCCTTTATCTTGTGTAGCGGCATTATCAGTTTGTCACATTATTGAAGAAGAACAACTTATCGAAAATGCCAAAGAGAGAGGAATGGAGTTACAAATAGGTTTGGAAAAGTTGAAACAATCATATCCACAGTGTATTTCTCAAGTACGAGGATTGGGTTTATTAATAGGATTACAACTTAAAGATGGTTATACAGCATCTCAAGTCATTGATAGAGCACTTGAACAAAACTTATTAGTATTGTCTGCTGGTCCTCAAGTTGTACGATTGGCACCTCCTCTGGTCATTACTCAAGAACAAGTGCAATTGGCTTTACATATCTTGAACAACGTTTTCAAAGAGTTAATCTAGTTGAAGGTAATAACATGGCATTTGTGGCCAATTTCTTGTCAAGTTGTAATAATAAAATACGCAAGTCTTGGTTGTTCACCAGTCACTTGCAACAACAACATAGAGTAAGAAGTAACCTACAGACAAGTATATGTTCACTATTACACGTTACTATTCTATCAACAGGAAAGACAAAAGAACGTTGGTTACAATTGGCGATGGAGGAATATATTTTACGTTTGAGACCTTTTATAACAGTAGATCTGTTGTGGACTCGTGATAATCAGCATCTTTCACAGTTAGTCTCTAGGCAAAAGGGTTGTTTATATTGTCTTGATTCCAGTGGATCAGTTATCAACTCTATAGAGTTTAAAAAACTGCTCTATGATTCTTTTGAGAAAGGAAAAGTAAACTTTGTTATTGGAGGTTCTTTAGGTCTACCAGAAACACTGAAACGTAGAGGGAAACTCATAAGTTTATCATCCTTGACATTTACACATCAGTAAGTCAACAAAATATTCTATTGTAGTTTGGAAACTCAAAGTAGATGAACAAAGAATGACAAGGTTAATACTTGTAGAACAAATATATCGTGCCACTCAGATACACAAGGGAACTGCATATCATAAGTAAGAGAACAGATAAGAAGACCTTGATTTGCTCCATGAATGGCTCTTAAAAAGTCAACGATATCAAAACGTATTGGATCAATAGGCTTCATGTTCTGTTTTAATGACATTATGATGAGCAAGTGTCGTTATTGTTTGTGTAATACAAAAAATAAATGAAAATGGGTTGAGGAGACCAGTATATATGCAAAATAGGACAAAATGCAGTTTGC